ACCTCCCATGGTTTTTTTTGGGGGGGGCAATTGTGGTGGGTGGTCCGATGCATGGACCTGAGTCAGAAGGCCGGGCTGTCACCCAGGTGGGCAGGTAGGTCCTCCCTCTGCTGGAGGGTGTGGTGTGACGCTTGCGTTTGATCAAAGCACCAACCACAGAGTGGCTTCTATAGGGGTCCCAAGCTCCAGAATTGCTAGCCCCTTCGTTCCAATTACAAAATACACCCAATCCAAGACGTAGGTGAGTTCATAGTTCAGACATACTGCTCTGAATCCAAAAAGAAATTTGTTACTTTGCCTTGAAAAATATCTCAGGGTGTTTATTTTTTCCCCGATGTTCAAAATGTACAGACAAAGAAAAACGGATGGTACTTTTAAAAAGCCTCATGCTCAAATCAAATGTTTCTAGAACAATCCACCCACCACAGACAGGAAGACTCCAACAGAAAAGGGCCACAAACCAAAGAACCATCCAGGACAGTGGTCCCCAACTGGATCCCTAGGTCAGCTTCACAAGTTCGTCCCAGGATACCAGAGAGCTTGAAATCCTAGGAGCCCAGTTCCCGTCTCAGACATTGCCACGTGGAAGTATCATGGGGCGGAGTCTCCAGGAATTTTAGAAATCTCTGTGGATGCTCCCTGTGAGCTGACAAGGCCAAGGCCACTGCCTAACGTAGCAAGGTGACTGTCAACTACTATGCTGGCGACATCTTGGGAAAATCTGAGGGCTCCTGGGAGCTTTCCTCAAGCCTACTACACTTGCCTCTGGGAAAACAAGGTAAGACAACAGGATCACTTTACACAAACCTCAGGAAATCCTAATGAGCACAAGGATTAAGAGCCACAGTTCTGGAGGAGACAGTATGCCTTCCCCAAAGCTGCTGAATAACCCCATGGCAAAGAACCACCTCCTGGCTAGAAGGAGGCAGTCACTGATCTCTGGCTATTGTAGCCAGGTTAGGTGATGGTAATGATTTTTCCGCTTTTGTCTTTGAAATGGAAAAAAAAATATTTACAAGACATTATGAAGGGAAAAACAGAAACTTCTAACAAACTAGCAAATTACTGTGACTAAGCTCATGTCAGCCAGGACAACTGAGCTTCCTGGCAAAACCAGCTCATCTGTACTTGCTATCAGCAAAGGGCCCCACGTCTCCAGACAAATTCCATTTACATGAGGGCTTTAGTGCAGTTGATGCCAAGAGAAAAACACAGATCATGGTGGCGGGGGGATGTGGGGTGCATTGTCATTTCACATGCTTCAAGTTTTTGTTTTGCAAGAAGAAAATGGTCTAGAGATTAGTGGCACTTGAGTTTTGCTTTAAGCTCATTCTTCAAATTTAAGACAGGGTCTCTAACATCCCAGGTAGGCCTTGAGCTTGCTATGCAGCCCAGACGAGACTCAAAGTCATGGTCATCCTGTCTCTGATTCTTTAGTGCTCCAACTATAGGTCCCAGGAGCACAGACAGCCAGTCATGGGTGCCCTTAACACTACTTTGTGGCTCTGTGTCAGTACCAGGGCACAGAGTAGAGCTCGGTTCTGAGCATTCCCTTCGAGAAAAGACAACCCATCCATGGAGGGTCTGAGGAGACATAGCTGTGTGCTCTGAGGACATCCTAATGGAAGTCAGTGCTGCTTGCCACAGAAGCACAGAGTGAAGAGTTTGTGACCCACTCCATAGAGCATGTGGCAGGCGTCAAACCTGATGTCATTTGCAAAAGTGACCAGATAGAAGAGGGGCAGAAGGGTGGGACCATTCCAGGTATCTGGGCATCTTGCACAAAAGCACAGGACTAACAAAAGAAGGGAGGCCCACAGAGGCAAGAGGGTCTCTAAAAAGATCCTGTGACATGGCCTACATGGCTTGATTAAAAACTAAATAAAAATTAAATTAAAAAAAAAACTTGGACTTTGCAGTACAGGAAGCAATGGACCCCACAAAAGGTATTGTTGAGATGCTAATTCTTGGAATACAAGAAGCTCCCTCAAAAATTCCTGAGTTATGGCAGTGGCAGAGGCAAGTACAGGGAGGCAATGAACTCAAGGAATATTTGTTGTAATTGGGATGAATAAACGGAGTGAGAAGAGTAAGATATCTGAGCAGAGCACCTGGGCATACCCGCTGTGTGTTTGTGCTGGTACTGTGCCAAGCATTGTGCAACACTGTGTCACTTGATCCTGGAAACATCAATGGCCTGAGTTCCTAGTCTGTTTTAGATGATGAATCAGAGCCTCCAGGGCCTTCAGAGGCTCCATAAAGTCACATGTCTACTAAACTATGGGAGAAACTCTGAGTCCAGACTCTTCTACCTATGTCAGTAGGGGACAGACAGACTGAGGTCTGAGGTACCATGCAAGGCCAAAGCTCAGAAGGCCCCAGTGGACATTTCCCTGGTGCTCCTGGGGAAGTCTGGCCTGCAGGTAAGGACAGGAAGGATTGGTGACTGTCAGGAGAAATGGTTTCAGCAGGAGCTCTGCTGTTAGAAAGCCCTGAGGAAGTGTCATGGAGGATGAGGCATTCAGAGGCTTGGCCATATCAGGAATCAACAGAGCAGGAGAGAGCGTGAGGACTTGGAGCCAGGCTTGTCAAATGCTACATGGCTGTCAAGGATGAGATAAAGCATAGTGCCTTCTTTGGCAACAGCTATGCTGCTAATGCTCAGGATTCAGGTTTGACTTGTGTATCCTTCCTCCTCCTCCTCCACTCCCTGATAAACGGAAACATGGTCTTGAGAGCCCTCCCACACATCATTTTTCTCTAAGTGTTTGAGAGAGGCTTCTTTCAGCATCACTGCTCGCGTTTAAGTGCCAGATGGGCAGCTTCAATCATCGCATATGCCCTGGCACAATGGACATACATCGCATACGGTAACACACAGTAAAGCGTGGCTGTAGTCAGCAGGAAGCCCTGCAGCCTCTGCTTCCCTCCCAGACTCAGCAACATCTAGGGTGGTTCATGCCTCTCAGAGACTTGGCAAAGATGCAGGAGCAGCATCACCGGAAGGTTCTAGAAGCCAGCCTGACCTTGAGCTTCCTTCTTTCTGCCTGCCTAAGCACTGAGTCACCCACTTGCTGCTGTTGCTGCTGCTGCCGCTACCTTTTGAGCCTAAAAATGCATTTAGTACATAGGAACACAGAGTAGCTGCTTGGTTCATGCAAAACTGACATCCTTAAATTAGAATTTAACTGCTATCCTGCACCATGTGAAGGAACAGAGGCAGAGGAGTACCAGAATCAAGACCCATGTCCCTTCGGGCCTTTGATAAATGCTACACATACTGACTGCTTTAGAAAGCACGAAGGAAACTGGGTGAGTCTCAGGTGAGCCTCTGGCTTGGCATGTGCCCCAGGGCAAGTCACTCATGTTGTCACTTAACATGGACCATTTCCAAGTATCTCTCCTTGCACCCAAATGTAGAGGTGGCCTTAGTTCTTCTCCAGGGCAACAGTGTGCCAGGCACCAAACCTGTTTCAGGTGTCAGGGCTGGCGAGAGGCACCAGCAAACAGAGCTGGACTCCAGGCTTGGAGGGTAGTCTGTGAAGTTCTACAGAGCCCTCAACAGGAGGCCTGGCCGTGAGAGAGTGCCTGGGTCCTATGCCTCAGCCTCTCACCTGTACAGTAATAGCCTCTTTACCTGAAGGGGTCTTGTAGTGATGATGTGATACTGTGATAATGGGAAAAATGATCAGAGCAGGGCCTGCCACAGTGAAACAGCAGTTTTAATAGCAAATACTACTACGACTGAGATCCACACATCATGCTTGTCCCTCGGCAGTCACTGTGGAGACCCTACAACTCCTTTCTAAGCCTCTAACTGAAGAGATGAGGAAGCTGACATCTTGAGGGACAGGCGGGACCTGCCCTGCCAACACAGGAGGCAGAAGTAACACCATAAGCTAAGAGGGTATCCTAACTCCCTCATCCATGAGCATGGCATGGATCTGGATGTGCCATCCCCAGCCCCTGCGAGGGCTCGGCTAGGGCAGGGTCTAAGCACCCTCAACTAGGGAGAGAGACCCTGATGTCTTGCCAGGCTCTTGTCCACCTATTTCCCAGGTAGAGGGCTTTCTTGCTGGCAGACACACAGTCTGACCACTGAAGTTACTTCTTTACTCGAGGTCTGTCTCCTTAAGTGGAACAAGTCTGTCTTTATGAAACCTTCTAGTTCTGACTTCCTTGGTTCAGTTAGCTGTGAACACTGGCTGTAAATCTCACTGACTATGAATCCGAGATCATTCTCAGAACCACCCCCCCCCCCTTGGCAGAAATAGCCGAGCCCAGAAAGCCACGAGCACCTCTGTCCTTATGTGGTGGCTCCTGTTTTACCCAAGCGTGCTGCCCCATTTGCTTCGGCAGCTGCTCCATAACCCCACATCCCTGCAGACTGAGGGGGGCCTTCTAGGTGTCTCCCAGTCATCAGAGCTCAGAAAGACAGCGTCCAGACATATGTGTGTGGACTGAGCTCCTGAGCACACAGGCTCAGAAAAGTCAGAGGTGGGAGTTTGAGCTGGTCAGAAACCTCTGGACCAGCTCTCTCCTGTCTTTCTCAGCCAGGCCTGGGCTGTTACCTGCAAAGTGAGGTCAGGTGGAACACCTACAGGGGAGGGGGAGTGTTTTCATGATTCCTCACAGGGGAGGGGGAGGGTTTTCATGATTCCTCGAGTCTCTGTAAAGGAGTCCTCCCCAGCCCAACCACAGACCAGATCAGCACAGGCTTTTTAGAGATGTCTCAAGAAGGGAGGGAAGAAAGGTAGGAGGAAAGAGGAGAGAGAAAGAGGATGGAGAGAGGGAAAGAGTCAGAGGGAGGGCATGCAGGCTCAAGTCCTCCCCACACAGACATTCCACAACCCCACGAGGCAGTTCACCAAGCGATCTTTAGGCACCATCTCTTAATTTCCACCCTAAGGGGTGAAAACACATAGGAGGAAGAAACGGGGAGGGATTGCAGATGCTGATGACATGAGAACCTCTCAGCCTCGGCACTGCTGATTTCCCCAGGCACTGCTGACTTCCCTAGCCCCAGACTTAGTGAATCCCTGTGTCTGCACACGGCAGGCAAGTGCCCTGGCTGTGTCACCTTCACAACAGAAACAGCAGGGATGCTCGTGTCAAAGCCCCAGCTAGCTGCCATCCACTAGGCTCATGTGACAAGGCGCATTACAGCTGCTGATTTCTATTCAGGAACACAGTTTACCAAGATTCTGCTGTATTCAGGGACATGAAGAGGAACAGATCTTTATAAATAACTCCTGATTAAAATGGAACTGAAAACTGGGAGACAGAACAGGAAGCAAATTGCTAAGCACTTATTGAGTCGATAACATTGGCTTGAAGATCTTAGTGCAAATGGCTGGTCTGGTTTATTTCCTTCTTGTCAAAGGTTAAATTCGGGCTGGAACCTTGAGGCACCAAGGCTGTGTGTGTCCAAGGATTGTTTTAAGGGGCGTGGCTCTCAGCTCCCGGAGTCTTGGGGAGATGCTAACACTGGCCTTGATTAGATATCCCTGAAGCCTTTTGAGCTCAGCCAGGTGGTGTGACCAGAACACTCAGCCACTGTTTGGTCCCTGGAAGGGCTGGCTTCTGAGCCCTGAGATTCTAGATGGTGATTCGCCGGCTGAGTCCCGGGTGTGAACCTTGGACTGCCCAAGGTCTGGATGAGACCTGGACCCGTGCTCTCTCCTGTTAAGCGAAGGTGTCACCCGCTAGCCTATTAGCTGCAAGCAGGCCACTACAGTTCATGTTCTCTGGGAAGTCGAAACTGAGAGGAAATGTGCTTATTAGGCCCCTGTCCTCGGAGAGTGGCCCAGCAGCTAAATGGAGGCACAGAGTAGAGGCTTAGGACAGAGCTGACTTTGCACGGACTCAATCCCTGCCTCCCTCCCCCAGGACGCAGACACAAATCCTTAGGGAGTTGATGGCAGCCGGAATGGCAGGGCCAGGGGACCCTTCAGGGAGGAGGGGGGAGCTGAGGCAGCCGCGGTGGCCTGTCTCTCAGCAGCAACTGCAGGCGCCTGTATGCACGCGGAGGACGCCACGGCTGTGCATGCGCAGGAAGGCGAAGATCTCCGAGGGCATGGCGTGGAAGCCAGGCTTGGGCTTGACGTTGTCGTAGTAGTGGTGCGTGATGTGGAAGCCAGAGGGGTTCATGGGGAAGGCCCAGAAGCCGAACAGGTGCACCTCCTCGCAGAGCTCCAGGGCCGCGGTGACCAGGATGAGGCCGGTGCTGATGCGCCGCGCGCGCACGCCCAGGCTGAGCCAGTAGCGCGACACGTTGGACAGGTACTGCGGGTGGAAGAAGTAGACCCGCTGCTGCGACTGGAAGTCGTCCAGCATGTACTTGACGCGGAAGGACACGAGCGTGTTGCGTTCGTTGTAGAACGCCGGCAGCAGCACCGAGGCGTTCTCGTACCTCTGCAGCACGCTGAAGAAGGGCCGCCGCCACTTCTCCAGCTTGTGGAACCTGCAGGGTGGCAAAGTGAGCAGCAGCAAGCCCCGTGCGCTGGCAGCCCACCCTCCCCACCCCAGCCCCCAGCCCCAGCCTCACACGAGCATCCCATCTCCAACCCCTCAACTCCTACCTTTCACCCCTTCTCCCACACAGGACTGACAGGGCCTTCTGACCTCCCCACTTCTGCCTCTCTCCTGTCCTTCCTTTCCTTGTCTACTTGTTTGTTTGTTTATTCACGGAGGGGGGAACACATGACGTTGCTAGTGTGAAGGTCGGAGGACATCCTGCCAGAGTCGGTTCTCTCTTTCCATCATGTGGGCCCTGGGGATTGCACTCAGTTCATCAGAATGTGCAGCGTGAGCCTTTACCCACTGAGCCATCTCATGGCTCCCAGGAATGTGACCTTTCTCAAAGATGCTATTTTTTTTAATGGGCACAGGAAAAGAGACAGTATGGGCTGTATAGCTAGTGTATGGCTGTAGGAAAACACCAGCGTTCAGCATAGAGGCTAAGGGAAGCCAAGGAAGGTACAGAGGCTAGTCTAGGAGGTGAAGCCTCACACAGCTCCCCTGTTCTCTTTTCCCTAAGATTGGGAGAGACCGTCTGATCTTGCCACCTGATGTGGCTGGCCCCTGCCTAGCATCTTGGCTTCTGCCCAGTGACCATCCCTCCCTCTGCTGCTCTCTCTGTTCTCTGAAGGCTCCTGGCTGTTGGCACCTGATGTAATTTGGCAACTCCACCCTCTTCCCCCTTGTCCCTCTTATCCACCCTCTGGCCAGGCTGACTATGTGCAGGGATTTCAACACATCCGGCAGCTCTCTCAGGCAGATTGACAGTGTGGAGCCAGGTAAGAACAGAGATCTTCGCCTGAGCAGCCCTCGCAGAGACCTGGACCCTGCCTGCTCCCAGCACCTGCAGAGTTCCTGACCACCTCCAGGTAACAACTGCTCAGACCTGCACTGCCTACAAAAATAAATAAGTAAATAAACTAACTAACTAATTTAAGCCCTGTGTATGGAAATTAACAAGAAATGAGGAAAGTTATTAAAAATAATTGTTATATTTTATTTAACTAAATATAAAGATGCTGTTGCTTAGCGTGCAATTAACGTAAAAATCAACAAGATGTGTTAAGTCCCTTTGTTTGTGCTGAGTCCTTGACACCCAATGATGCTTCTTGTAGACAGCCGACAGGTCTCAACCATTTCCAACCATATCCTCAGTGCCCAGTGTTTGCAAGTGACTGGCAAAGTCAGCTCTAGAAAGAGGCCCACTGACCTGTCAATTATGATGCTGGGATTCACAGTGACTACATCTGTCTTCTCTCCCACATCTGTGGCATACATCCCTGAGATGGGGGGCAGGTTGCACCTGCAGAGAGACAACCTCGAATAGTTAGTTGGTCGGTCACCTGCAGGGGGCTGGGAGAGGAAGGGGAAGGAAAGGATGTGCTTACAGGTCAGAAAGAGGTAGAGGCCACCAGCAGGGCAGGACCTCTGTGGCTGGCTAAGACAAATGTCCTTTCTGCTCTGTGTCACAAACACAATAGCAAAAAGTTCTATCCTTAGTCTCTCCAAGTTACAACCATGGAGATATTTTCTGAAACTATCATCAAAAACACATCCTTAACAGCTGTCGGGGGGGGAGGGGTGCAGAGACCGATGTGCCAACCAAGAACCATGCATGGAGATAACCTAGAATCCTGCACAGATATAGCCCATGGCAGCTCAGTCTCCAAGTGGGGTCCCTCGTAAGGGGAACAGGGACTGTCTCTGACATGAACTCAGTGGCTGGCTCTTTGATCACCTCCCTCTGAGGAGGAAGCAGCCTTGCCAGGTCACAGAGTGGAACAATGCAGCCAGTCCTGATGAGACCTGATAAGCTAGGGTCAGGGAGGAGGACCTCCCCTATCAGTGGACTAGGGGACTAGGGGATGAGCATAGGGAGGAAAAAGGGAGGAAGGATGGGACTGGGAGGAGGTGAGGGAGGAAGGGTAGGATTGGGAGAAGATGAGAGAGGGGGCTACAGCAGGGATACAAAATGAATAATAAATTAATCTGAGAAAGCTGTGGTAATTCCTGGGCCTCTGTAAGGGTATGGGATCAAAGAGATGTGGGAGCCACGCCTTCTCTGGGGACTCAGGACTTCTCTGAGGAAGCAATGCCTGAGCTGAGGGCAGGAATTAACAAGAGTCAGCTGGCAGAAGGACCAAATGCCTGTGGGATAGTCCAAAACTCCATTTGGAAATGCAGTGCTGAGGTACAACCTGCAGAAGTGTGTGCAGTGTGAGCTGCAGAAAGACCCTGAGGTAAGCAGAGTGGGGTCGCCGAAGCACCCAAATCCTAACCTCTGAAACTGGGAGCTTGTGCCTTAATTGGCAGGAAGGACACTGCAGCTGAGATTGTGCTAAGGATCTGAGATGGGGAGGCAATTCTGGATTAACCAGGTGGATCCAGGGAAATCCCAAGCACATCTATTTGTGTGTTTGTGTGTGTGTATACATATACATATATGTATATATATATATGCTAGAATAATACACTTTCCTTGTCACATCATATTCTCTTTATATTATATATAATACATACTATATATTATAGTAATATATAATGTAACATATATAATATGTACATATAATATATACATATATAATGTATAAAATATATATAATGTATAATATTATATGTTATATATTACATATTACAATGGCTTCCATGCTGTGGTCCATATAGCCTTAGTGATTGGATCTAAGGGTGACCCAAGAAAACACTGTGCCAACTTCTTCATGTAATGTCCTTCGGGGTCTCCCCAAATCAGCATTACTATCCCATGGACCCTGAAAATCTGGGGGTGAGAGAAAGGCTAACATCAAACACTTAGGTGTTTTATCAAGGTCCTTCCTCAGGGGAACCTGGCCTGCTCTTCATTCAAGGGGCTCTGGGTCAACAAATGGCTCAAGTCTGGAAACTGGTTCACTGGCTGAGATTATTTTTTGCTGTACTCCAATGCAGCCTTTCTCTTATATGTTTGAGAAATTTTTTTTGCTCATATAGATCAAACAAAAATGCAGTAGGCTTCTTATCTATTTCATTCCCAGAAACACCATGATTGACTACCCAGTTCCAGAAGTCCATGCAAGTCATTTCACTTTAAAGATGAGTTTCCTCTGCTGCCCTCTATGGGGTCGGCCATTACGGCATTGCATTGTGGGTGCTGCCCTTCGCGACAACTACGATTGCCTTGCCTTTGGCAGTTCAGCACTGCCACCTGGCTCCTGCTACTCTGAGGCCCAATCAATCCCATTGCATTTAATTCAACCCACCGAGCAGCAGTGTCTCCAAACTTAAGGTCTAGGAAAAAAAAGGCAACAAGACTCTTCACATGTGTTGGTGTCCCACTCACCAGTTTGCACCTTACAGGATTAGTGAAGGGCATGTCTTCTGGGCCTTCCCAGTCTGGAGGATTGAGTTCCAGTCCCCTTTAGATAGACAACCTAGTTGACAGGTGTCAAATGTCACCTGTGAGTGACACCACATTCTATAGAAGCCCGGAGAAGGGTGCAGGTGGGGGCAGCCAGGAAAGGAAATGGCAAAAGGCAGCTGGTGCTCTTCACTGCTGAGCCATCTCTCCAGCCCTTGAAGCTCTCATTTTTAATCCCTTGCCTGGGCTGAGTAGAGAGTGAGGATCCCCATGTGAAAAGAAAGGCATGCCACATAAGAAAGGAGAAATGCAAAGATTCCTGTCCAGCTCAGTCAGAGCGTGGGTGAAGTCCTCCTTCCACCAACGTTTGCAGAAAGGGACAACCCATGTAGGTAGCAGGGGACTGGGGTTGAGAGGGGTGGTCTGTGTTCACTGTCAGCTCTACCGGGCTGTTAGTCTTAGGGCCTCCCATCCAGAATGCCCCTTGCTTTTCACATGCCCTGCCCCCGCCTCCATTTTGAAAACTAGAAACTAGAATCCCAGAGTCCGACAACCTGCATTAATGTATAGGGCTAGAGGTGTAAGAGGTCCCTGACTCATGAACATATGCTTAAGCAGAGCGCACGGACGGTGACACACATGCGGGAAGGGCTCAGAGAGGAGAGCCACGGAGGCGCTCCCTTACCGGAAGACAAAGTCAGCACTGTTGATCTCCTTCCCGCAGCCGCTGTTCTTCAAGATGCCTCCATTGCCCACCACAGCACACTTCTTAAACTGAGATCGGTAGTAGGGCATTTCCTGGAGAGGAACATGGATGGTGTCACAGCCAGTGCCACCCCACCTTCATCTGAGACTTAACCTCTGCCAAAAAAAAAAAAAAAAAAAAAAAAAAAAAAAGCAAAAAAGGTCCCCTCCATGAGCTCTACCCATTGAGGCAGCTTTGTCTGAAATGTGAGAGAAAGGGGAACTCAACTGACAGAGGAGAAGAGGGAAGGAGGGACTGGCTGCATTCAGTGGCTCTTCCTCCCATTTCTGACACCAAGGAGTCGGCAGGGCCGCTTTGCCCCCAGCACCTGCCGGCTAGTCAACCGCTCCCCACAGGAAGCCTCACTGCATCGGGGGCTCAACCAAAAGGAGCTGTCATGACCCTCTGTGGCACACTTGGGTCTGTGAGCCACATTCCCTGTGGGGACAGGTCTAGGGAACCAGGTCAGGGAGAGCGCTGGGATCTCACAGTTAATAGGGGGAGAGGCAGAATAAGCCACAGCAGTCTTAGGAAAAGTCATGGGACATTTCTGGTGTTTTCCGTGAGTGTGTTCTAAACATGTGCAAATCAAGAACTGTCTAGAAACAGCCATCTCCACACTCCACCCAGTAACCATAGAATCAGAATTCTGGGTGGGCAGGAGTCTAGAGAGCTGGTCTTTTAGAAGCCCAGAGACACCTGTGTGCTAAAGGAAGCTGCCGTGTGCCATGACTCGGCGGCTGGAAAATCATGGGCCACGGCTGCTCTACCACCTGTTTTTGTATGGCCGGCAAGATGAGAATAACATTTATATCTTTAAATGATCTGAAGACACTCAAAGAAGACATGTGGCATGTGACATGTATGTAAACTTCTGAAGTCTGTGCCACTGAGGCAAAGCTCCCTTCATTAGTTTACTCACGATCACGACCACGACCACTTTCAGGCTGGGACCACGGTGCCAGTAATGATCATGGTGATGTGACCTGTGGGGCTATTTACTATCCTGTCCTTTTCAGGGAAAGGTGTGAAGACCCTGCTGTATCTCCTGACCTCAGTGGTTCATGCTCTGGCTTTCCAAAGACCTGCAGGTCAGCCCAGGCTTCGTCACATGGTGCTATGACTTGCTTAAGATGAAAGTTTATCTGCCACCTGCCTCATGCCCTGGGCCTTGAAATACCCACCTAGTGAAGGTGGCTCAATATCACCCTATCCAGCTCTGTTCTGTACCTTCCACTCATTCTCTGAGCCCAAATCTTGCCAGATCACTCTGGTATTAGCAATAGGACATACAGAGAGACTCTGGTTTTATCTTGTTTGCACCTCCCCTAACCTGTTAAAACATGCAGGCCTTCCCAGGGCTCTCCCTCCAGAACATAGTCATGAACACACCTTTGCCATCCCCTTTCTGCCAAAGCCCTACCACGCCAACATCACAGAACCATCTGAACTAGCTAAAGGTACAATTTCTGCATCCTGCTCCCAAAGAGTCCAGAACTTGGATCTGTACCAGCTCTCAGCCTCAGTGGTCTAAATGAGCCATGGATGTGGACATCTTTACCCTGTAGCCAATGGGCACAGAGCTACTACACTGTCACTGAGCAGCCCACCTTCATACAACGTCTCTGATGTTGGAGATGTATTATAAGTAACCAATGCCTGCTCTGAATCCTAGGGTCATAAAGAGACTGAGACTTCCAAGGGGGGAAGAGATCACCCAAGTGCTACACTAACAAGTGGCCAGGGGAGACACGCCCACTGGAATAGTAGTGGCAAGTCTGTTGAAACCATATTCTGATGCACAGAAAAGAATTCACATCTGACACTGCAAACCTGGTCAAAAGCCCATGGCTAGGAGGTCAAGGGGCCCAGGGAGGAATCTATAGCTGTTGATATATTAAAAAGTATATGTTGTGCCTATACATCATATACTTGCCTTGTACATAATTATATGTATCCCTATAGATAAGAGCTGCTGTCAGTTTTTCTCGGAAAAGCTTCTTTTGCACTTGGCAGTACGTGTAGCTGCAGAGATTAATAACTAGACTAAGTGACCATTTATGGCTAAACATAAATGGGACATACATATCACTTTCTTAAAGGCTCAGGGAGCATCACGGAAAAGAGAGTGGACACAACGGAAGAACCATAGGATGGAGTAAAGTTTGGTGGAATGCATCTGGGCAGGGCATGATGGTGGCACTCTTGAATTCACAGTAGCTGTGATTACTACACCAGATTGGACCAGTTGACATGCTTTTGTGGAATGGGGATAGACTTGGGAGCCCCAGCCATCCCTGGGTATCTATAGGCAGTTAATGGTTGCTAGGCAGGGTACGGGATAGTTGCCCATGCTCCTGTATGCAACCTCAATAAAACCCATTGAGATACTGAGGGGGAAAATATGAGAGGGGAGTAGGTTAGAAGGGGAAGGGACATGGGAAGGGAACAAGAGAGGATAGTGGTGGCAGTGGCAGGAAATAGTATTGAAATACATGGCATAATAAAACCAATTGTTACATATAACTAATAAATGCTAAGAAAAAGCCTTCTTACAAAATATTGACAGCAGGGTTTTCTGACGTGGCTGACACTCAAGCCCGGGCCTCCTTTCTGGTGTTGCATGCCTTGTGTATGTGTTCTTCTCTTGTGCCTGCCTCAGGTGAGGAATCAAGGTGCAATTAATCCCTCTCCTAAATAGCTGTGGTATAACGTTGACATGCAATCATATAGGCAGAATGTTAACCCTTTCCCCCTAAATCATGAAAACCATAGCTAATCAGCACTGTCTTGTCTAGACAGGACTCCTCAGGAAACCCAGTGGATGGACTACAGACCACTGGGCTGCAGACCACTGCCTGGACGAAACCAAAGCATCTGCACTCAGAATGCAAGGCACACTGGGCAGACTTGGGGCATGCCACAGAAACCGCCCACTCCCTCCCAGACCACCACATTGGGGTGTACCTTGGGAAACATCTGGAAGATCTCCCGGCTGATGTGATAAGAGCCACTGGAATCCACCTCATACCTGAGCTTCGTCTCAACCGGGGTGTTCTTCTGGGTGGTGAAGAGGAAGCTAGGAGCATTGCAGCATCTGGACAAGGTGGACCTGCCAGGCATGGAGACAGGGGTGACACTGGGCAGAGCATAAAGGGGGCCCTTCCTTTCTACCCCATTCCCACACTCAGTTCCCACCCACCTCCTCAACATCTTCCTGGCGCCTGTGCTTCTCTGTCTAGGCCCCAGGTTGGCATCCTACTGAGAAGCTCTGGCTGCCATACTTTCATGATGGCTCTTGTCTTTGAAGGCTATGGCACAGACTAATCACACACTAACCTTCTTAGGCTGGAAGGAAAAGCTGGACACCAGGGCCTGCACCTCACTAAACCTCACACAGCACTCAGCATGGTTATGTTCAAACCACCCTGTGACAGCCAAGCCATCCAGGCCTTGACCGATGCCCACACAGCTACAGCAAGACTCCCCCCTCAGAGTTCCACAGCTCCAGGACATGCTCTTCCCATGTCACTCATCCAGTGGCCTGAAGCCAGAGCTCGTTAGGGTCTCAGCCCCCATAGCCAACACTCAACAAAGGTCTTCCCTTATCTCATAAAACCAAGGCCTGTATGGTCACCAAAAGTGCTGTTTCTCTCACTCAGAAGCTGACTTAGGAGGAGGAGGGCAAGGCCAGATTGGAAATGCAGGGTTGGTACCAGCTGCCTGCCTGCAGAAGGTGGAACATGGCTCCTTAAAGAAGTTTCAGGAATTCAGTATAGGAAGGAAGGAAGGAAGGAAGGAAGGAAGGAAGGAAGGAAGGAAGGAAGGAAGGAAGGAAGGAAGGAAGGAAGGAAGGAAGGAAGGAAAGAAGGAAGGGAAGGAAGGAACTTAGGAAGAAGAGTCCTCACATTTTTGTTTCAGAAACACTCAAAGCTGAGCTACAGCAGATTAAAGCTCTGACACCAAATTTAAAAGAAAACAAACTAAAAAGCCCAAGGGAAATGGGGCTGAAGCAATCTGTTTTTTTTTTCTCTCTCTCTCTCTTCTCCAGGCCTTTCCAAGAAAGCTCTTGATAGGGTTAGCTCTTGGGAAATCTTGCCCCCTTTCTTGGAAACTTAATGGGTTCTGGCTGTGGCCATGGGCACAGATCACTGCCTCCTTGATTACTGGAGTACTAGAGCCAGAGACTGGAGTACACCCTGCTCCAAGCTCAGTCCCCTGCAGGGTCCAGGAAGTCATGGTGGAGGGACCACCTTCTCCACAGAGACCTGAGATGACCACTGGCAGGTCCAGGAGTCCTGACACTTTCTCATGAGCTCTGGGATGGAAATATGAGTGGGCACATAGCATCCAGAGGCTCACTGAGGCTCATCGATATCAAATAGTTATATTTATAAAAATTTGTCACTGCATACTACTAACCCCACACACTATAAGCTCAGTACTTGGGAGTTAGAGACAAGTTTATGAGTTTGAAGTCAGCTTAGGCTATGCAGTTAGAACCTATCCAGAGAGAGAAAGGCGGAGGAAAAGGAAAAAGAGCGAGGGGGAAGAAAAGGAGACAGGAGGGGAGGGAAGAGGAGAGGAGACTTTCTGACCTGCTATTACCAACTGAAAGAAAGTGTTGATGAAGAAAATGCAAAGTCCTGGTGGCACCTACTTTCTACAGCCTCCTGTGTTAGATTCCTCCATGTCAGTAGCTCCTAAGTTCATTTAAACTTGAACCTGAGTGGCTGAAACCCAAGTTAGACACAAGTTGCCAAGACACATCAATTTCTTAGTGTAAGGTCTACCTGCCCTGGCGTGATACCACAAGCTGGCAGGAGGCTAGCAATGGAGAGAACCCGAAAGGCCATCATTAACAAAAAAGCATTTTTGGATGCCTCCCAACCGTTCCCATAGGAGAGCCTGGAAATACAGCTACTGCCTCTCCCAGAGCTTACTGCCTGTTAATTGTGGTTAGAGAAGGATTAAGAAGATCAACAGCCAGCTTCAGACATCAGGTGGAAACATGGTAAACACAAGAGCTCCAAGAAGGTGGGGAGAGCCGCTGTCCCAGGACAACGGAGGAACCTTAAGCAAGTACATCACTTCTTGGAACCTTAGTGTACATCAGCCTGAGCTAGAGGTGACCGGCCCAACCTTGTAAGGCCACAGAGAAGCGTGGAGGACGGTGGCTGACCACATGCTGGCCTTGCCACTGCTCATATTCCTATGCCCCTTGGGGTCAGCTCCAGGCAGATGCCCCCTGAGAACTAAGTGTTCCCGCACGATGGGCATCTGAAGAAGCAGCAGTGGGGACCCACACCGCGAGGAGTGAGGGCGGGCGACAATGCATACTTGAAGAGGCTGGCTTCAGAGGTGTCCATTGCCCACTTGCATATCTGGAGGCTCTTCCACCTGTCGAACAGATCAGACTGCTTCACCCTGTGAGAGAAAGGTACGATTGCACCGCGCGTCATCACTGTTTCTGAAGACCCTCCCTTTCCCTGCCCCCTCACGCCACATCTGTGGCCAGCATTCTACTTTCCTTAATCTTGGCGTGAGTCTAGTTCTCAAGAGAAGCTCAGAAACCCAAGAGCTGTCCTTCACATGCAAACTGTACAGAGCCAGCCATCCCCTGGCCGGCCACTGTCCCCTACCTGAATCCTGCCAGGACTAGACTTCAGACCTGAGCCTTAGAACCAGCTCAGGTTACGCAAACTAGCTGAACCTAAGCCTACTTCCCAACGCTCTCACTGAGGCTTGCCCCTCACTCTTGCCTCTGGTGGGCATGGAACTCTGCCCTACCCAGCCTGGTGTGGCCCCGCGCGTGCGGCAGGATTCCTATTTCTAGGACTCCACAGTTATAAAACCTCCTAACGTCCAGTAGCAGCAGCACACCTCTAATCTCAACACCTAGAAGACAGAGGCAGGAAGATTATGCATCCAGATCCAGCCTGAGATAACACAGTGAGTTTGAGTCCAGCCTGCACTACAAAGTAGGGCCCTGTATCCAAACAACAACAACAAAAGCCCCACCACACACACACACACACACACACACACACACACTAAAAGTGCACCTTCTTAACTCAATCACTCCATATCTACATATCTTAACTGCTTTCACCTCAAGCAGGTTGGCCTGTCCCATGTAGCTTCCTCAGAGGCTAGCACTGTCTTCTCAGAAATCAGTCTATATGGGAAACGAGACCACTTTCGTATCCCAGTGGCTGCGCAAACCCTGCCCTGCACAGACTATGGGGCTCACAACCGTGGCACTCCTTCTCAAGTAGGTCAGGAGGAGGAGAGAGACCCACCTCTGAACAACTCCAGGCCCCACACTGCTGGCTTTAACATCTCGGCGTCAGGATGTTCCCAGGCACTCTCGGGAAAGGGAACACTGTCTAAATAGAGGTGATTCTTCCTTGCACTGGCACCCACAGAAGAAGTAGTATATAAATTATAAATTTGACATTGCATATTTATAACAGTACACTCGGACAAAGTTTCAGTGCGGGCAAAATGTGGGCACTTGATAAATGTGGTTGGTTTGTTCAATGAATGAATGAGTAAAAGAATGAACAAAAAATGAACTAAATCAAAACTGAGAGTGCCGGAAATGACTGCTGTAGTTGCACGCACTTGTAACCTCAGCACTTGGAAGGCTGACACAGGGAGGGCTGTGAATTTCAACCTTGAGGCCAGCTTGGGCTACACAGCAAGGTCCTGTTTCAAAAAGGGTAAGCCTATGGAACCTGGGAGCCGCTTCTGTGGAGAAATGCTGGGTGCATGCGTGCGTGCGTGTTTGCCTAGCAAACCAAGCATCATTCCACTATTCCTCAGGTGTGTGCATGTGATACAGGGTCTATCATTGGCCTAGAACTCATTGATGTGTGTGCGTATGACACAGGGTCTCTCACTGGCCCAGAACTCATCATTAGGCAAGCTCCAAGGATGTTCTGTCTCTGCCTCTGTCTCTGCCTCCACAGCATTGGGATTGCAAGTGTGTACCACTACATCTGGCTTTGTACATGCTGGTACTCAGGTCCTTGTGTTTGCAAGACAGGACCTTTGGTGACTGAGCCATCTCCTCAACCTTTGACATCAGATTTACAGCATCAAGATTTACAGAATTCTGTCCCAGACTCCCTTGAGGCAGTATCTAGACGTTTCCGGTTACTACCTTAAACCTGTAATAACCTTGGCTTTCAGAAACAGAAGAGCCTTGGGGACAAATCTCCTCCAGAGGGGAATTGGGGCTGTCTCTATACACAGGCGCAGTCATCTGAGGAACATCAGGTGGTTCCCACAGTCCACAACAAGCAGGACCAGAACTGAAGTAATGACCAACCAGCCCCTGAGCGGCAGAGCCAGCTTATCATAAAACTCTCCACACCTTAGGTCCTCCTCTGTTTAAACTGCCAGCACCTCAAAAAAAATGGGCTGGGATGCTGACGGCTTCCATTTTCCCAGTGCAGTTAACCTGAACCATATTTATTAAGCTCCCTTCCTGCCTTTCTGCTTGTTTGATTTTTGGGGAGTGGTTAGGCCCAATCTGTTGAGACCGCCTCCCAGAGTCAAGCCTGTTCTAGGGTATCAGTACCACCTGTATGCATGTTTTGTTAAGTTTTTCTCAAGTTGATAGAGGCCACAGTCTTCTAGGAGGAGCCACCCTCAACTGAGAAAATGCCTCTATCAGACTGACTTGGAGGCAAGTCTGTGAGGTATTTTCTTACTTCGTGATTGATGCGGGAGGGCCCAGCTCATCCTGGGTGCTACCACTCCTGGGCAGGCAGTACTGGATAGTATAAGAAAGCAGGTTCAATAAAGAGACTTGGTGTGAACTCAGACTCATCAACGAGCTCATTAGGCTGTTGAGACAAGCTAGGGTCATCCTTCCCGACACCTGCTGTATATCTCAGCACTGCGTTAGTGAGGAGCGCAGGCTGGTTCCTGACCTGTGGCATTTTATCATGTAGGGAGAAAGATCAGGGCAAGGAATGAGAATGTGTAGGCTTTACAAAAACTTATAGGGGCTAAGAGATCCTAGTCAAATCTGTTCAGCAATAATGGCAACCGATGCCCACTTCATGTGTGCCATGCACCTGCCCAGTCTGTTATTGTATCATCTTATTTAATACTTTTAAAAATCTATGAGGGGCTGGAGTGACAGCTCAGTAGTTAGAAAACTGGCTCTACATGGCCAGATGTGGAACTGTAATAGCAAAAACAGCATCTCCCTACATGCATGGAGATTCAGAACAACAAGGAAGACATGTTGGGAAGAAGTATAGACTGCCTTGTCTGGAAGTGGGAAAAAAGTAAAGGACTAGGGAAGTGACTGCCCCATGGTTGTCTGGAAGCTTTCTCGAGGAGGGAAGCTTTGCACAGAATCTTGGAATAATGTAGACGTGAGGCACACTACTATCTGGGAGAAAATGTAGCTCAGTCAGAGTGAGTACAAAGGCCCCTGCAGCAGGAGCATACTTGGTGAAGAAAGGTGCTGTTTCCTCCTGCCGAAGGCAAGCCTTCCTAAGGCAGCCCTGCTCCCCTCAGCCCGCAGGACATCAGAGAATAGATGCCAGCAGCATTTTGGCTCACCGCTGCTCCTCTCCCCTTACCTCCCTGCAATTCACAACACACACACACACACACACACACACACACACACACACACACACACTCACACTCACACTCACTCACACACACGGTACTGCTCAAACACTTCAGAGAAATGCAGCATAGCCAATGCTCCAGGCCAGGGGCCCAAATTTTGACTGTTCCCAGTATCCAGACCTTATTCTGGGTGTTTCCCATGCCCTTGTCACATCCTGGTCCAAGGTCAGGGCTAGACACCTAGCCTTAAGTCCTGGCTCCATCCCCAACCCACAGTGTGACCTGGATAAGTCCTTTAATCTCTCAGGACACTGCTTTGTCTGCATTCTCTGCCCACCTTGAAAGTTGTTGGAAACAGCAAATGGAGTCACATGTATAAGATACACTGTAGGTTGCAATACAGATACAGAGCCACCTCCACCTTAAAGATGCAGGACTGACCCAGACTATCTGTTCTTTCTCTGGTGGCATCACCATCATCCCAGAAGAGAAACCAAATCATTCAGACTGCCCTGGATAGATAGTGACAGGGCTCTCTGTAGAAGAGAACTCTCCACAGGTCCACAGAAAAAGGAGGGGCTTAATCAAGAACAGGATGACAAAGTCCCTCCCCCAAAACATAAATTCTAAAAACACAGGAGCAGTGGGCTGAGGCATGACCCTAAAAATGAGAATCAGTAAAAGACCATGAGCCTCAGGGGTGGGGCTGGAGCTCGGGGTTAGAGTGCACACCTAGCCTGCATGAGGGCTCAGGGTAGACACACCTGCTCCTCCCCGATGTGCCCTTCCCTCCCCGCCCTTGCCAGGACTGAAGAGAAAGCAAAAGAAAGCAACAAGACCATCCAGTCTGGGGCTGGAGAGATGGCTCAGCTGTTAAGAGCACTGGCTGCTCTTCCAAAGAACCTGAGTTCAAATCCCAGCACCCACATGGCAGTTCACAACTGTCTGAAATTGCAGTTCCAGGATATTTGACACCTTCACACAGACATACATGGAGGCAGAACACCAATGTAAATAAAACAAAATCATTAAAAACAAAAAACAACAACAACAAAACCATCCAGTCCAATCCACACCCTGCAGCCTCCTCCAACCAAATATTTGATGTCAGATGAAGTGGGGAAGTCAGACCACCCATTCCTTTCTGAAGTCCATGACATCAAAAACATGAACATTCTGTACCATCTTAATTATTGTCAGACACAAAACTACCAGATTCTAATTATTTTTAGTCTGAATTTGAACATGCAGCCAAGGGTAACTGAATCTACCTGGATGGCACAGAACAAGACAAACCACCAGGTAAAATGACCACAGAGAAAACTAATGCAAAATAAGAGCCCTAAAAGACATACTTGATGTCGCCAAAGATAACCAGTATAATAGCACATTCTTAGCAGTAAGAATGTGCAGAAGCAGTAAGAGCAATGCAGAAGCTGTGTGTGTGTGTGTGTGTGTGTGAGAGAGAGAGAGAGAGAGAGAGAGAGAGAGAGAACTTTAGAAGAGTGGGGAGATGACATTGAGGAATTTTACCAGGGTTGAGAAGCAAAGGGCAAAAAGAGAAATGATGAAATTAAAAGATGCACAGATACCCGGTCTCCAAATGATACAGGTGGGGAAACAATTGAAGACACCGACCCACACTCAGAGAAAGAGGGGAATGGAGGCAGGAAGAGAGTGAGAGAAAGAAAAAGAGAGAGGGACAGAGAGAGAGATCATTTAGGCATGAAAGGACCCAAACCCTTCCCTCTCATCTACCGATTCCTGAGACTTGAAAACAGGCAGGAGTAAGAAGGAGAAAGTGTGAATCAGCCCTGGGTTCTAAACAGAGCTGATTCCAACCCTAAAGGGCAGAGGTAATGCTAACAGCCTCGTCGTTTGTGGCACAGGATCTAGAGACACTGGAGTTGATAGAAGAACAGCTTACTTAGGTAATCCATCCACAACGAACATGCACATCCTGGGCCCATGCAATGTCTAACACAAGGTACCCGAGCTCAGAACCTGACTTCATTGAGCCCCAACCTGACAGAGGACATAGACTTCCTACAGCTATTCCAGATCTGAGCTTTGAGAGGCATGAAGACCACCCAGCCCAGACAGTAGAGCTTTCTGCTGGTGGCCATGGCTCCAAGCTGCTCTGTTCGGCTTCATTATTGGATTCTGCACCAAGCCCAGCTCCAGAAGGGTTGGGAAGGAAGCCGGAAGCTGGTGTGAGCATGGGCAGCAACTGAAGGCTTACTTTTAAAGGCAGACACTCAAATGACTAGAATAAAACCTAAATGATTTGAACAAGAATCAGCAATGGACATTTTCATGAGAAATCACGGCAGAGCGGCTCCTCATGCCTCTGACACTGTCAGGAAGCAGGCGCTCTCCACGTGGGCGTTTTCTGGCTGACTGAATTTTACCATTGATCTGAGAAATTCTGGATCAAAATTACTCCTGCGGGAATCACACATCTCCCTGTGTGCTCAGACGGAAATACCAGCTGACGCTCCGCGTGCTGGAGGGAACAAGCGCATCCACACAGCCGCCTCTGTCCACAGATGGGATTTGACCTTTTCCCTGTTATTCAGGTCAGTCCTGCTGTGACCCACATCATGGCACTAGGCTGGAGCACAGTACAGACTGACAGCAGGTGGACAATCTCAGGGCTGCCTGGACAGAAACCACCCTCTGGGCTCTCTAATCCCTCCCACGGAGGACCCACGGACCCTCAGCTTGGGAATTCAGGAAGGAAGGCAAGGGCTTGCTATCCCCTGACACTCCACACTCACACAACTGATGTGCTGTGAATGGCCCAGTCTTGCCTTTACTCCACAACTCAAGTCCCCAGACATGACAGCTGCCACGGAAGAAAACGTCTATGAAAGACTGACTAAGCTTGAGGTCACCAGCTGGATTGCTGTTCTTCCCAGGAATCTATCCCGAGGAATGGGACAAGGTACCCCAAAGACAGAGGAGAACTGACCCCAATGGTGGAAAGACACAACCACCACCAAGCAGTCCATGAGCAGGGACAAGGGTAGTCACGGGCATTGCTGAGGTTAGTCTTCACTCCCCACGCTATTTGTCTGTAGGTTCATATCAAAGTGTCTTGGTAACTTTTCAGCTGGTCTCTAAGTATACACTGTAACATCTAGCTTCCACATGCACACACATACACATTCTCACACACTCACACAACATACATACACACACACACACACAAACACATTCACACACATATAACATACACATATATACATGGACATACACATACACACCCCCACACACATATACACACAAACACATACACACATACTTACATACTCACACATATATATGCAAACACATACACAAACATATACACACATAGACAAACACATACACTTACACATACACACATATATACAAACACCCCATATATATATATATATATATATATATATATGTATATATATATATATATACACACACACATAGACACACAAATACCCACTCACATACATATACACACACCGCATGTATATAGACACACACATACACATTCGCACAGACATATATTCACACACATACATATACACATACACAAACACATATGCACACACACACAAACACACCAAAAAGTGGGAAAAGAAATTAAAGGGCTCGATAATGGAATTCTGTGGTGGCAGCCCCAGAAAACTGCTGCAGGGAGTACCACCAACACACAGGAAACAGCCGGTTTACATGCTTCCTCGGCACTTTCCGTCCAGACCTTGAAGAACCCATGAAGAACTGTTTTCCAGCTTAAAGCTTGACTGTTTTTTTTCCTTTGAAAACTCTGGGAAACACTGCCAACAAGGGTTCTGTGCGACCCCAGTCAGACATGTCGAGGCCTCGAGTGTTTTTTCTGAGAAAAAAGAAGCAGCCTCTGCATTCAGCTCCCAGCTGGGTAGGCTTTCTCACATAATTCCTCGGAAGCATTCCAAAACATCTATTAGCCCACACTCCTGTGCGCTGCCTACAACCCTGCCCACAGCGTTCCCCGATCCTCAGAGAAAGACACAGGTGCAGGGCGACGTCTGGTGCCATGGCTTCCATTTCCCCTCCCACGCTGACCTGCAAGCTGCTCTGGTCCCTCCGAGCCAGGGCCCAGCAGGGACCTTCCTGCCTCAAGGGCTCATGCCAACTGCTCCAGTTAGAATGTCCGTGGCCTAATTAATAGCCACCATCCCACAGACCAGAACTTTATCTGCTCTTCCTCAGCAAGCCCTTGCCTGGCATCACCCACCCTCGGTCAAGTTTTCTGTCACCCTGAGGGTTTGTTTCTGTTTCCCCACTGGGTTGTGGACTCTCCGAGAGCTGGGACCACAGTGGGTGCATGCTCATCTGCAGTCGACCCCAGAGGAGGAAGACCTCATTCATCTCTATAAAAGGCACACAGATTACTGCTCATTACAGGGACATCACCAATACAGATGATGCAACCTTACTCTCTGGACTTGCAGCAGCAGCAATGGCCACGGAGTCTGCTAATTAGGATTTTACACATCTCCTGAGGGCCCATGTGTTGAAGGCTCTTTCTCAAGACGATGCTATTGGGAGGCTGTGAGACCTTTAAGAGATCAGTGCATGGGGGTGGGGGTCTCAAGGTCATTGGGATTGGCCCTTGGAGGTGCTGGTGGGAACCTGGTATCTTCCTCCTTCTGCTTGGCCAGGGAGACGGCAGCTTTGTTCTACCTCAAGCTCCCTGCCATGGCATGCTGCCTCAACACAGCCCCCAAGACTGTGGGCCAGCTCACCTTCGAGTTATTATCTCATTATATATTCATTGTAGTCATGGGAAGTTCACCGACAGGTCCTGTGTATAACTCAGAAAAAAAACCACTCTTGCCGATTTTATAGAAAAAAGAAGCTGGAGGAAAGAGAGTAGCTATTCACACCTATTGAGTGCCACTGTGCACCCCTACCAGTCAGCACCTGCTGTCTATTGTACAAACCATCTCCACTAGTCAGCAGCTATGCTAAGAAGCAGGAAATGCCGCCTCCAGTAAGTAATTTGCCTAATAATTAGAACTGGCCAGGCCCAGAGTCACCTTTTGGTCCCAGGGCTGCCTGAGCCCAAAGCCTACACTTTCCTCATGACCCATACTACTTGACAGATCCTGTCAGGGGATCATGAGTCCATAGGGGCACCCAACGTTAACCTCTGTATAAATTTTTTTCTTGTCCATGTCCAGATGTAATTGTTTCCGAATAGTTTCAGAACCTAATGTAAGTAACGTAACCCAGATGACTCTAGGTACATCTGCTGGACTTACGGGAGTCGAAACAAGAGAGGGAGGACTCAAGCGAGTCACCAGGAAGAGACTCAGGTCTTCCTCCCACTGGCTGTAGGAGTGGTGTGGGTGATGGACTGTGGGATGGGATGGAGTGGGGGAGGGGGGCTCCTTTGCCATTTATATAAACACGTATGTAAGGAACCTCCACACAGAGATGTTGTGTGTGCGCTGACACTACAGAGGGACGCACTGGGCCTTCTGGAATTAGAACTTGGTGTTGGGGGGGGGGTGCTTCGCCACATCCCATTTTGCAACACTTGGATTTTGTGCCTAGATAACTGACAAATAACTTTCAAAGAAATTAAAATTGTAAAAGACAACATCAAGAAGGCAAGGCTTAACCCTGCAGTACGAAATGCTGAGTTTCAGGTCTGGCCCTCCCAGACCTCTTGGATTTCTACTGAATAGAAGCCCAGAGATGATAATCAGAGAGGCTGGTAACTGAGCTGCGGACTTTCACACTTGGCCAGCTGGTCAGCAGAGGTGACCTTGCAGAGCTGTCCTGTGTTACGAAACAGCTTCCAGGGCTTTCTGATGCTGGTGGGACAGCTAACCTTCAGCCGGTGAGGCCTGCCTAGGGTTTCCTGTTTCCTTTGGATCTGGGGTCTGCCCACCCCATCCCACTTCCGCATACAACTTCCACCCACCCCCAGCCCAGGTACTCACATGGATAGCACCTTCACCTCCAGGATCTCCTGCCTCAGCTCCAGGCATCTCGTGGAGTTAAACTCTAAAGGGCCTTTGTAAAATTCGAAGTACCTGAGAACCGACAGGGACAAAGGTTACACAGAGAAATGGGCCGGCTTTTCTAGGAGCCGTCAAGGGTCCTAGTCCAACAAATAAAGCAAAGCAGCCCACCCCATCTCAGGACCCAGTAGGTGGCTGGCTCCAGGCAGGAGCAACCCCATTGCTGCATAAGCATGAATAGGAACAAAGCCCACTTGGGCCCACACGGGAGGCAGGCACAGGTTTCGTTGCAAGGAAGTGGCTGGGAGAGCGGGGACAGGGCAGGCTCTGTGCACTCTGGTCAGATGGAGCTCGAGATTGGCAGCACCCACAGCCGATCTGGGAGGCAGGCAGCGCCCTGTCCCAACCTTCCCTGCCCTTTTTGCCTTTCTCTCTCTCACCCTCAGGACAATGTCCTAGACACAGGCACGGACATAGCTGAGACCGCCACAGAGTTTTCCATTTACAAAGCATTTCCATTCCCATCTGCTTCCTTGGTGCCCATGTTCATTCAGTGTTATCTCTGAGACATGGTTGCTTTTGCCCCGTCTGCCTACCAGAACAGCTGGTGGGCTCACAGCCCTGGAGAAGGAGTTGCCTCCCTGGGAAGAAGCCAGGTGATGCTTTCCCCATGGCCTCTCCCACTCCTGAGGTGGTTCTGGAGCCAGGAGAGTGGGGTCTCAAGACAGCCTCAGTCAGGAACCAGGAAGACTGCAGGTCCTGCCACACTAACTGTGGGGTCAGTGGCCCTTGACAAGTGACCCTCCAGGACCAGAGTAACAGAGGCACCTAGGGCCACCACAGAGCCAGAACTGGGAGTGTGGGTATCCTTGGAGCATGCCCCAGGCCCTTCCCAACCATGTGGGAGTTACCACATCGCTAACCTGATGCGACACACATGCATTAATTTAAAAATTGTAAAATGCTGGCTGGAGGGGCAGCTCAGTGGTTGAATGCTTGCTTAACATGCTCAAGGTCCAAAGAAATAAAGTTCTATATAATGAATTGTCTCCCAGTTCCAAAATTAACTGGCTCCATATCTTCATCATAAAAGTATTAGGTAGAATTCAGAAGAACTAAGACTGAGGACCTCTGTAATATCAAACTCACCCTTGCTCTGCTTCCCTCTTGTTTCTGAAACCCTTTCTCTGTCTCTCTCATTCGGCAAACCCAGCTTCACAATCTAAGTCAAAGGCCTACACCTCTGGGAGTTCTCATGTAGTCCCTACCCCTGGGCTCTATTCACTATATAATAGTTAGAACAAATAATGCCATATTATAATCTGCCTCTGTCTCTATGGCTTTTCCAAATGGTGAGCATCTCAAATGCAGATACTGTATCCTTGTTATTTCTTTCCCATCTGAACTACAAAAACACACTAAAGACTACACTTCCCAGATTCCTTTGAGTCTAAGGCCCTGGAAACAATTTAGGTCCAACCAATCAGAAACGTTCTAAAGAGACTGATTCCAAGCTGCTCCTTGAGAAGCATACAAAGGAACATGGTGCAGAGAGAGATGGCATGGATCTCAGAAACTACAGTTATGGCAGCAAGTTCATGATTACATCACAGACAGCAGCTCGCATGATGGCCCCATTTCACAGTGCCATTACTCAGTGTGATGGCTATTTTTGGTTGTCAACCTGACTACATCTGGAATTAACTAAAATCCAAGTGGCTGGGTATACCTGTGAAACATTTTTCTTAATGAAATCATTTGGGGTCAGATGATCCACTTTTAATCTGGATCTTTTGCAGTAGGAAGATCCACCTTGAATCTGGACCACATCTTCTGGTATGTGTTTCTCAATGTTCTATTGCTATGAAGAGACACCATGACCAAGGCAGCTCTTATAAAAGAAAGCATTTAATTAGGGGCTTGCTAACACTTTCAGAGGTTTAATCCATTATCATCTTGGTGGGGATCCTGGTGGCATCAGGCAGGTACTAGAGCAGTAGCTAAGAGCTACATCTTGATTTATGGGCAGAGAGAGAGAGAGACTCTGGGCTGGACATGGGCTTTTGAAACCTCAAAGCCCGCCCCAAGTGACACACTTTCTTCAACAAGGCCACACCTCCTAATCCTTCTAATTCTTTCAAATAGTGCCGCTCCCTAGTGACCAAGCATTTAAATATATTAGCCTATAGGGGTCATTCTTATTCAAACCACCACATTCCATTCCCTGGCCTCCATAGGCTCAGATACATAATATGCTACAAAATATGCATTCAGTCCAACTTCAAATGACCCCGTAGTATATCACAGTCTCAACATTTTTTGAAAGTCCAAAATCACTTTAGAGACTCATGGCAATCTCTTAATTATCACCCCCATAAAATAAAAATAAAAAAGCAGATCACATGCATCCATCACACTATGGCACAGGATGTATATCACCATTCCAAAATGAGGAAAAGGTAGCATCGTGGGGAAATATCAGACAAAAGCAATACCTAAAACCAGCAAAGCAAACTCCAAATTCTATACATCTCTATGTCTGAACTCAAAGTGCTCTTCAGATCTCCAATTCCATTTCTCTCTCTTGTGCTGGTTCCACATCCAGTCTGCAGTTTGGCGGGTATCCCACAACTCTGGAATCTCCAACATCTTGGGGTTTCTAAGGCAATCCAGGCTTCACCTTCACAGCCTCACATAATGGCCTCTCTAGGCCTCCATGCAGGGACACATGCCTGACCTCAGTGGCTTTCCCTAGCCATGGAAGAAGATTCCACAAGCAAGCCCTTTCTTGTATCTTTGACTCTAAAGCCAGAATCGCATGGCTGAAGCTGGCAAGTCCTACTGCTTGATGGAACTGGAACTTGGACACTTCCTTCAATTACATTCACATCAGCTTCCTTTTGGTGGCTGCTTCCTTCCTGCTAAAGCTTTTCTTTCCTTTTCACAAGTTGGAAGCTTAGCTGGTGAGGTCTTACTCTGAGGTTATTACTCCCTTTATTCCATTTATCATCAGGATTTTCTTTTGTCTCCTTGAACACTAGACTTAGCTCCATTAGCAGCATTCCTGGTGCTCCTTATCTACTAAAAATATACATATCGTATTGGAGTGGAATGTGGTGGTTTGAATAAAAATGGCCCCCATAGGCTCATATATTTGAATGCTTGGTCCCCAGGGAGCAGCACTAGTTGAAAGAATTAGGATTTGGAGGTATGGCCTTGTTGAAGAAACTGTGTCATAGGGGTAGACTTTAAGGTTTCAAAAGCCCATGCCAAGCCCAAAGTCAATCTCTCTGTCTGTCTCTCTGTCTCTGTCTCTGTCTCTCTCTCCCTTCCTTCTCCCTCCCCCCTCCCCATAGCAATAGAACAGTGACTAAGACAGAAGTTGGTACCAGGAGTGGAGTATTGCCATGACAGGCCTGGCCATGCCTGTTGTAGGACTAGAAAAGTAGTTGAACACTTTAAATGGTGCTTACAGGGGCATCCTAGTAGGAGTATGGAAGACATACTCTCAGTGCTGCTGAGAATGATGTAGATTATGATAGCTGGACTCAAGAGGTTTCAGAAGAGAAAAATATTAGTAAGTGGCCCTAGAAACTGTTCTTGTGATATTGGAGAAGAATATGGCTTCTTTCTGCTCTTGTCCAAAAATACCAGCCTGGAGCTACATTGAAAAGTTTGGGATTAATGGAAGTAGCAGAAGAGATTCCAAGGCAGCTTAATATTGACTGTGTTGTATGGTTATTTCTTGGGGTACATTGTGTGTAGGTGTATTTCTGTATATTCAATTGTTGATTGCTAAGCCAGAAGAGAGCTAAGTACTAGCTGGATCTTGGTATTGTTATTTCTATTGACCATCACTGGTCTCATAGTTTGTAAATATTCATCCTTCCTCACTTGCCTAATAATGATCTGTAAGCCAATAGCTGGGCAGGAAGTGGAGGGTAGAACTTCTGAGAGAGAAGAAAGGATGTGTGGGAAATTTGCCAGCTGACACATGGAGGTGGATGGACCAGTGTGGAGTAGAGAGGCCGAGCTAGCCAAGTGATGGGACACAGTACCATGATTAGTCAGGTTAAGCCAGATAGCTGGCTGAGAGATTGCCCTAGCTAAAAGACGTAAGCTTTGAAACATTAAGAAGCATCTGTGTCATTATTCGTACTTCTGATGGGTCCAAAAGTCCCACTATAGTTATTAGTAATCACTCTTATATAGATCTGTAATGAAAAGGAGCAAGCCAGTAAGCAGCAACCCCCTCCATGGCCTCTCTATCAGCTCTTTGCCTCCAGGTTCCAGCCCTGCTTGAATTCCTGCCCAGACTTCCTTCAATGATGGACTACAAATGTGGAAGTGTAAGCCAAACAAATCACTCTCTTTTTCCCCTTTTTTTAAAAAAATTATTTTTGATTTATATATTCACTCTGCATCCCAATCACCACAGTGTTTCATCATAGCAATAGTTATGCCCTAACTAGGACATGTGGTATAAAAGATGTGGAGAGGGAAACTTTTGGTCGGTGCCTGCTTGCGCTCGCTGTCACGGGCCGCGTGCTCCAGTGGACTGCATCAGACCCTACTTCTTCACGGTCCCAGTGCGTGCTGAAGCCCAGCTGAGAAACCCAGCCTCGTGGACCGAACAGCTACTGTACCCTTAGACTGTCCGTTGTTGGAGTAGCTGGATCACAGCGTGTAAGCCACTCTGTTAAATCCCCTTTTACGTTATCTCCATATTCATTTTTCTCAAAGATTCTGAGCTCGGAGTACCCTTAACAAATCCCTTTCTCCTTTAACTAGCTGACAGGCATTCTGTTACCTCCAAGTAAGAACAAGGGGTCAAATTGTGGCCACCACGCAAGTCCATGACCTTGGCTCTAACTCATGTAGTTTTCCAGTCACATGGAGAAAAGTAAGGTCAGATGTCTTGTCACAGTCTCATTTGCAGGTGTCACTAAAGCCGTTGGGACCACAGGTTGAGTGAAGTCATGATCCTAGACCGCTAAGAAAAACTCCAGACACAAATGTCAAGACAATTAAAAGTCAAGAGATAGGTCACTACCCCTTTAGGGGGTCACATA